ACACAGTGCAAAACAGATCTGGGGAAGATATTTGTCCCATGAAGCGTGCTTATCCCCAACATATGCTCGAATGGCTGTCTTCAAAGTGTGAGTTACACGATCAGTTGCATAAGTTTGAGGATGGTACGCAGTTGTTAGTCTGTGTTCAGTTCCAAATGTTAGCACAACATGCTCAAATAGTTTACTGATGAAAGGTGTTCCCCTATCAGAAATAAGGTAAGATCGAGCAAAAATGTCAGTAATGAACTTGTTAGCAGCAACCTGAGCAGTGGCTTCTCTTACAGCACTCACTTCGATCCATTTGGAGAAATAGTCCACAAAAACAAGGATATAAGCATTCCCTCTTTGTGTGCAGGGCAGTGGGCCAACATAGTCTACACACATGTACTCTCATGGTCTTTGTGGTTGGATAGGGACTATAAGGTCTGCTGTTTTTCTTTGAGTTGGCTTTGTGGCTTGACACAAAAAGCATGAGACCACATACTTTTTCACATCATAGTTCATGTTTTTGCCAGAAGAATGTGAGAAGCAAGCATGCCAGCGTTATTGCAATGCCCAGATGTCCGGCTGTAGGATGATCGTGGTAATACTTGAGCAGATAACCAAGGAGTGCAGTAGGAGCTGTTGTGGAAGTTTTCCACTTAAATAAAGCTGCAGACGAGCGATGAGCGGTAGCTAACATTCTTTAATTAAACACACAAAGAACAGACAACCAAGCTTGATGAAGTCCCTGCATGTCCGCGGGACAGACGGTCAGCAGAGTCTCTCGAGCCTAGCATGGCTCTCAGTTAAATACCTTCTCCAGGAACAAAAGGCACAGCTGTTTCACACCTTAAGGTTCACACTCCCTTGCTACCTACCAGAGTCCTCGAAGAGACAAAAGACTCTTCCTGTGGAGTTGTCTGCTTCCCCCAACTTCCTTACTAGACCCCCTATTATGAGTGTCAGACATGTTAAAATCCAGTGGCACCAAGGCATCATACAATAATGTGATTGATACATAAGTGAAAGAAATTCCTATACAGAGCAAACAGTTTAATCTGCTTGAGTGGGTGGAGGCCATCGTGTACAACGTACTTCTTCAGATGATTATCCTCCTCAGTTTGTTGGTCACTTTCCAGCTGATGGAGCAATGAGCCTGTGGCTG